AATTTGGGAATATTAATTATATTCTATTTTTAGAATAGTGTTTTCATTTTTATAATAAAAAAATTAAGCCGCATTTAATGCTAATCATATAATTTATTATATTTAAATTTCAAATTTCAAAAACTTGCCTAATTGTATTTCAAATATTTTTGGAAAATATTTAAATCCCGAAGATTGAAATAAAAAAATCCATCTTTATATTAGTAACAAATTTATAATAATATATGATATGACAAGGGCAACACATTAGATTAGGGAATAATTTGAGTATTTGTCGACAGATAAAGCAAGATTAACGAGATTAAAATCAATTACCTAATTAATTAGTATATGAATAATGAAGATAAATGATTATTCATTTTTTAAGATAAATTATTATTCATTTTTTGTTTAATTAGATTTATGAAGAAAAATATAAATTTTTGCCAATAAGATTGTGAATGGATTTCAAATAATATTACTACAAACCTAACAATTAAAATAATATTATTACACATCTGATATTTTAATTTTGTATAATTTTAAATTAATATTTTATTATTTTATATCATATTAGTTTTACTAATTATATTTTTATTTTATAGTTTTTCATCATTTGAAAATTTTTCAACAAAATAAAAAATTTTCGAAATTTCTATATAGGTTTATGTAATATATTCCAATACAAGAAATAATAATTATTTCTAACAAAATGCTCCAAATATGTATTTCATACTAAATGCGTTAGCATTTGCGAGATATATACAAATTCGTATAATATATTTTCGTGAAATTGGTAAAAAAATATGAATTATATTTAATGCATTATTGAATAATTATTTAATATATATATACATTTAATACATTTATTTATTTAAATATATTATATATATTTAATATATATAATATTTAATTATTCAATATATTTATTAATTTATATTAAATATTTAATTAATATAAGAACAAAATTAAAATAAAATGAAATACAGTAAATCATTATAAAAAACAACATAAATGAGAACAAAAGTTAAATTAAACAAGGTAATTTAATTACTACAATTAAATTGTGAAAAAAATTAATTAAAATAGTATTAAAAAATAATTCAATTTTTTTAATTAAAACATTTAAACATAATTTATTTATTAAATTTTAATTAATTAAACATCATTTATTTATTAAATTTTAATTAATTATAATACGAAATTATATAAATAAATATGTAATATTATCTTATTCAATTACCTTGTTTTATTTAACTTTTATTATTATTGCTCATATTAAATAATTAAATATATTAATAATATAAATAAATAAACATATTAAATATATATATTAATAAATATATTATATAATATAATATTTTTTTATAAATGTTTTAAGTTGCATATTTTAATTTCGTAATTATTACATATTAAGAAATAAATTATGTATAAGTTTTATAATTAAAAGTTATATAAATTGAGTTATTATTTATTTTCCGATAAAATGATGTTGAACTGTAAATAGATATATATTTGAAGTCAAGTTTTTAGCATATGATCTTGTAGATCAAGTGATTAAACGATGACCTTTTTTACATGCAAGCGGGTTGCTGCAACCTAATTGTCACCTCAGTAATAATAAAAAAATAAATTGTCATACTGACCTGCAATAGGCGGTCAGAGGACCAAAATACTAATTTTTTACACCTAGAGGACCATTTCTAAAAATGAACCTTTACTAGAACCAAAAGCCAAAACGGGTCAATTAAGGGACTAAAAAACCTTTTTTGCAATTTGAATAGGCACAGTTCTAGAAAGAAGAGGTTTACGGCTTTGAAATTGGATATAGAAAAGGCTTATGACCGATTCGAGTGGTTTAGTGTAAAAAAAGTCCTTCTGAAAATGGGGTTCCACAAAGTTTTTTTTAAACGCGTGATGGCTTGCATTTCTTCTGCGTTTTATTCTTTTAATTTGAATGGTAAAGTAAAAGGTTGTGTTTCTTCTTCAAGAGGAATCAGGCAGGCTGATCCCTTGTCACCCTACCTTTTTATTCTGGTTTTTGAAGCGCTCTATAGGGTTATTCATCATGAGTTGTGCAGAGGGAACTTAAGGGGTTGAAGGTTGCTAGATCTGGTTCTACTATGTCTCACCTATTATTTGCTAATGATTGTTTATTTTTTTTGTGAAGCTGAGGTTTACCATGGCCTTCTTTTTGTCTCTATTCTGGATGCTTACCAAAGTTTCACTGATCAAAAGGTTAATTTAAGGAAATCTTCTGTTTTTTCAGTAAAAACACCCCCTTGGGTGTTCAGCAAAGCATTTTCAATGTTTTGCAAGAAATATCAGTTCATCCTTCTTCTAGATACTACCTCTGGACATTGGTAGGTCTAAAAATGAGTCCTTTGATTTTGGAAATCTGGAAACCTCTAGAGTTTTCAGAAACTCAAGATGCCAGAACACACAGTCATCAGAGTTGCTCCCAGGATTGGCCGGAACATATTGGTGCTCAAAAGAATTGAAATCAACATTTAAGAGAGCTGATTGTTTGGCTCCTTTCTTTTTGGTTTTTCTTTTTTTTTTTTTCTGGTTTTTTTACTGTGACCTCTGGTGTTGTATTCTTTGTATTCTAGCTGTATTACTCTTGTGACTCGTTAGCTTAAAGGTTCTTGGCGGGCTGTGCTGCCTTTAGGTTGTAGCTAGTTTACTGTAGCTTCTAGGTCGTCAGTGTACGGGCTTCCTTGTATTTGTTTTTCTTTTAGATTGGTGCTCCTTGGCTTGTAAAACATTTTATTCATCTATTGATATCTATTGTTACCAAAATAAAAAATAAAATAAAATAAAACAAAAAAAAAAGCTAGAACCGATGAGTTGAGCCAACTGTGCAATGAATGCAATTTTGGTCTCTTCAGTTGAATCTCGTAACCATTATGTGTCCCACCCTTAACCGACTGGTTGGCCCACACACACACATGGATCTGAGAATACATACACACATGCAAATTTACACGAGTAGCACTCACGCACCTGAGAAAACTAGAAAAAAAAAAATTGAGAATTAATTAAGAAATCTTCATTAACATGATGCTTGATATAGTATTTATTTTTTTTATTTTTTTTTTTTTCACACAAAA